AATTAAATAAAAAAGAATCACAGCAGCCATCTCAATACAAACCCTCAAGGAAAGGAGAGTTTGAAATGCAGTATTTCAAGCCCTAAAGGAAAACATTCTCCAACCCAGATTGATTTACCCCACAAATCTATCTATAAAATTGATGGAGAAATAAAATACTTCTTTGACAAAAATATCTGAGAAAATTGGTTGCCAACAAATCAACACTCCAAAATGTTCTGAAGGATATTCTACAAAGAGAAAATGAATACAACTCCATGAACCCCAACACAATCAATCAAGCAGGCAAAACAAGCCAACAGCAGGAAAATAACACGACAAGGATAAATCTATGCATATCAGGTATAACTATGAATGTTAATAGTATCTATTAAAACAAAAGAAAAAGACTGGAAGAACGGATTAATACAGGAAATCCAACAATATGCTGCATACAAGAAAAACACTTAATTCAGAAAAAAGTAATTTAGAAACTGAAAATCAAACAGTGGAAAACAATACTTCATACAACAGCAACCTGATAAAAGCAGGAGTAGCTATTCTATTTGCAAAAAAAGTGAATTTCAAGCCAAAACTGATTAAGAGAGACAGAAAGGTCAATACATCCTTATGAAGGGATCAATCAAGAGGAAGAGATAACAATCACAAATATATATGAACCAAATACAGGTGCACCCAGCCATATAAAACAAATATAAAAAAATCAAGTAAGCCCTAATACAAATATAATGGGGGATCCCAATACCTGACTGTAACAAACATACAGACTAGCTAGACAAAAATGTCAACAATGAAATACAAGAACTGAACCAAACTTTTGAATAGACCTAGATGATTTATAGTGTTGAACCCTACATCAGAATAGACATTCTTCTCAGCTGCACACAGAATATTCACCAAAACAGATCACATACTAGCTCAAACAAAATGCTTAAAGAAATGAAAAGGAATTAAAATTATCCCATGCATAGTATCACACCATGGTGCAATGAAATTGGAAATCAATGGCAAAAGAATCCGAAAGATATTAAACACATGGATATTAAATAGCACCCACTGAACAACCAATGGGTCGCAAATCAAATTAAAGAAGACATTAGACTGTTTCTACAATTAAACAATGCCAATAAATTATATTGGAATTTATGGGACACAAAGCAGTCCAACAAGGATCATTTATAGCACTGAATACTAGTATTGGGCAATCAAAACAAGCTCAAATAAACAACTTAGTGTTGAACCTCAAGCTTCCAGAAAAAGAGCAAGTGAAACCCAAAGTTCCTACAGGAAGAAAATTATACAGAGCAGCCCAGAAATTAATACAATGGAGACTAAGAAAACAATACAAAGCATCATGAATCGGAGAGTTAATTTCTTTGAAAGAATAAATAAAATCAACAAATACTTAGCTAACTCTATTTTTAAAAAAGTGTGTGTGTGTGTGTGTGTGTGTGTGTGTGTGTGTGGAGGGGGGACTCAAATCCAAGCAATTAGGAAATAAAAGAGTGAAATCACAAAAGATCTGGCAGAGATCTAGAAGATCGTCAATACCTACTTTGAGAACTTGTATTCTAGCAAGATAAAAAATGGAGAAGAAATGGACAGATTTCTAGATACATATGAATGACCAAAGCTGAATCAAAAAGACAGAAATCTTTGGGGCTGGTGAGATGGCTCAGTGGTCTAAAGCACCTACTTACAACGAGCTTGGCAAAGCACAGGGACCGCGGTTCAATCCCCCAGCACCACATGCCAGCCCGCCCCGCCCCCTGGTGGACTGAGCTGGCCACACACACACACACACACACACACACACGCATAAATAAATAAAATTTTAAAAAAGACATAGAAATCTTAAATATAAATCATCATCAGCGAGTAAAATCGAAGATGTCATAAAATTCTACCAACAAAGAAAAGCCCAGGCTCTGACAGATTCACTGGTAAATTCTCCAAGAAATTTACAGAAGACTTAACATCACTACTTCTCAAATTCTTTAACGAAACTGAATGGGAAGAAATATTTCCAAATTCATTCCTTGATACAAGCATTAACCTGATACCAAAACAAGACAAAGATCCAACTGAAAAAGACAACTACAGGCCGATCTGCCTAATAAACATAGATGCAAAAATCCTGAATGAGATATTGACAAATAGAATACAGCAAATTATCAAGAAGATTATACACCATGACCAAGTAGGATTTATCGCAGGAATGTACCAATGGTTCAACATACTCAAATCAAGAAATATAATACATCATATTAACAGAGCTGAGGATGAAAAACATGATCATCTTAACAGATACAGAAAAAGTGTCTGACAAAGTCCAGCACCAATTCATGATAAAAATTCTACAGAAAATTGGAGCTGATGGTCTTTATCTCAATCTAATAAAAAACATGAGAAACCAACATCCAACATCATATAAAATGGACAAAAACTGGACACTTTCACTCTAAAATCAGCAACAAAACAAAGATGTCCACTGTTATCTCTCTTTTCAATATAGCTCTGGAGATATTAATCACAGAAATTTGGTAAGAGACAAAAATAAAAAGAATAAGGACAAGAAAGGAAGATGTTATACTATCATTATTTGCAGATGACATGATACACTTTGGAAGAACCCAAAAACTGCACTAAAATATTTTTAGATTTAATAACCATATTCAGTAGTGTAGCTGGGTACAAAGTCAACACTAAAAAATTAATAGAATTTCCTGTACGTAAATAACAAACTCACTGAGAAAGCAACAAGGGAAATAATTCCTTTCACAGTAATACTTTTCCCAAAAAATAGTTGGAATCAATCTAATAAAGAAAGTTAAAGACCTCTACATTCAAAACTACAGTACTGTGCAAAAAGAAATGAAATAGAAAGACAGCCTTTTTTCTTGGGTAGGAAGAACCAATAGAGTCAAAATCGTCATACATACAAAATTATTTTACAGATTGACTTCAACCTTGATCAAAATTTCAATAGCATATCTTACAGAATTAGAGAAAACAATCATAAAATTCATTTGGAACCAAAAGAGACCTAGATAAACTAAAGCAATTCTGGGAAAGGCAGGGGGCAACACAATTCCTGACTTGAAATTATACTAAAAAACTACTATGATAAAAAACAAAATTTAAAAACCAGCATGATACGGCAAAAAACAGACCCAAGGATCAGTGGAGCAGCCCAGAAGATGCAGAAACTGCTCCGGACACACTCAGCTACCTCATATTTGATAAAGGAGTCAAACACCTTCAAGAGAAGAACAAGGGCCTCTTAAATAAAATGCTCCTGGAAAACTGGCTTCCCATGTCCTGAAGATGAAAACTGCCCAGTATCTCTTACTATACACTAAACTAAAATTGCAACAGAGATCTAAATATTAAAACAGACACACTAAATCTTCTTTATACAGACTTCTGAAGACACTGGTGTAGACAATGATTTTATGAAAAATCTCCAATTGCATCAGAATTATCACAGAGAATCAGCATCTGGGATTTTGTCTTATTAAAAAGCATTGGCATAGCAAGAAAAATCACCCACAGTGTAAAGAGACAACCCACAGTCTGGGGGAAAAAATTACCAGCTGTTTCTCAGAAAAGCACTAAAATCTAGCATTTACAAAGAACTCAACAAAGTCAGACACCCCACGTTTCAATCCCAACAATCGAGGTAAAAATAGGCATCTGAAATAAATAGATACTTCTTAAAAAAGTACAAATGGGTGCTCACTTTGGCAACACATATACTAAAATTGGAATGATACAAAGAAGATTAGCATAGCCCCTGCACAAAGATGACCACAAATTCATGAAGCATTCCATATTTTTTTTTAAAAAATTACAAATGGCAAATATGTGAGAAAGTGTTCAATATCACTGGCAATTCAAGAAATGCAAATTAAAACAACACTAAGAGTCCATCTTACTCCAGAAAGGATGGCTGGTATCAAGAAATCTATGAATAACAAATACTGGAGTGGGTATGTATGTCAGAGGGAAAACATTCTTCTCTGTTGGTGGGAGTGGAGACTGATGTAGCCACTGTGAATATCAATGTGGAGATTCCTCAAAAAACTAGGACTAGAGGTTCTATGAGATCCAGATATTCCCCTTCTGGCTATCTTCTTGAAAGAATTAAAAGCTGTCATACCACAACAATATAAGCATATCTATGTTTTATCAGCATGGTCTACCATAGTTACATCTTGGAAACATCTCAAATGCCCATGAACTGAGGAATGGACACCCCCCCCAAAAAAAATGGATTTTTGCAATGGGTACTACTCAGCCATAAAGAAGGATAAGTTTGAGACATTTCTAGGTAAATGGACACACCTTCAGACCATACTCTGAAGTGAAATAAACTGGACACAAATGCAAATACTTCAATTTTTTCTCTACTGTGAGAAACCAGAAGTATAAATAAGGACTATTATGTATAACAAATATCATGGAATATTAGGAATATGTTCACATTGGTAGGGGAACTAGGGAGGGGGTAAGAGTAAAGGAATAAAGGGGAAAGAAAATATACCTAAAATGTACCAATAAACTTACTTTTAATGAAATAAAAAGAAACAAAAACTTCTCAAAGTTGAGAAACAAATTTCCATGAAAATCCTTATACAAGGGCAGGAAATATATAAATAATATTCACAGGGGTGAGGACATAGCTCAGTGGCACAGTACCTACCTACCTGGCAAACACAAAGTCCTAAGTTCAGTTACCGGTAACCAAAATAATAATAATAATAATAATAATAACAGTAACAATATTTTTTTAAGTTTTTGTTTTTTGGGTTTTTTTGTGCAGGGCCTCACTACACAACTTGGACTTGTAGTGATCCTCCTGATTTCTGCCTCTCTAGTGCTGGGATTATAGGAATGTACCACCATGCCTGGACTCCACTGCCTAGAGGCAGGGCCAGCACAGCATGTGGTGCCAAGGAACAAGCCCTGGCCCCTGCACTTACCTAAGCAAGAGCTTAGTCTGCTGTGATATACCACTGGCCCTAGCAACAATATTTCTAATTGCAGAAATCTGAGGACAAAATCTTTACCTGTCATAAGGCAAACATATAAAACTGCAATAAAATATTATAGAGTGAAAAAAGGAATACATTAAAGCTATTTGAAATATCACAGTTACATATTAGAAACAATACTGAGGAAACAACGTCTATTTAAAGCATAGGGCCATTTTTGTTATGATGAAAATATATTTTGCCTTTCACAAAGGTAAAAATTAACATGTTTAGCTACACAGAATAATAATGCTTTTAAAAGTTTAGGAAAAATATGACTTAAGGGTCTCATACAGATAAAAGAATTGAAAAGCAGCTTCGAGGAATCATACACAGATAGACAAGACAGAAATATTATGGCTAAATTTGACAGTAGTAGCCAAGTGTTGGTTAGTGTTCATCTTGTCACTATGACCAATAAGATTAGATATAATTCCTTTATACTAAGATATCAAAATTCAAGATTTTAAAGTTTCTAACTACTGGATAGAAAATAGACTTTGGGTGGGGGTAGAGTAGAAACTGACTGGAAAGGTGGAAAGCTATAAGAGACAGGCAATGAGGAACTATATATCAGAGTAGGGGAAAGGATAAGAAGTAGCAAGATTTAGATATTTTATTTTTAAGAATAGAGCTTATAGGATTTACTAATGGACTGCACTGCATGTGTTCTTCAATATGGAATTCAGTAGTCACAAGTGAATAAAATCTGAAAATTTTATTTATTTTTTTTTCTTTTCAAAGTTTTATTGATAAACATATAGCAATGAGACAGTTTCAAATCAAATCGAAATGAAAATTTTAAATAAGTTGTTTAGGTAAACTATTCACATTTTAAAATGCTTAACCACTGCAATATGACAGAAGATACTACACTAGCACAGATATAGACTATTTCCGTAATCACATAAAAATCTATCAGAACTTGGATAGCTACTATAGGGAACAGGAGAAAAAATGGCTCAAGTTTTCTGTGTAACTAGATGAATGGCAGTGCCTTTTACTGACATGAGGAAAACCAGGGGAAACAGGAGGTTGGGAAGGAAAATTTAGAGCTTATTTTTCACAGGGAGAGATATTCAGTACACAAGAGTTCAGAGAAATGTTGGAGCTACAAATATAAGTTTAGAATACAAAAACAGAATTTTGTTCAACTTTTTGGCTTTTTGAGACAAGAGTCTTGCTATGTAGTTTAGTTCACTCTTGAACTCAGTATGTGGCCTCGGTTGGCTTCACACTTCATACAGGGATCCTCCTACCTCATCCTCCCAACTGCTGGGATTACAGGCCTAGCTTCTAATAGTATTTTAAATCATAAAATTAGATGTGACCACAAATCAATGTAATACTTGAAACATTAGCCAGAGTAATCAGGCAAGAGAAAGAAATACAAAGAGAAAGGGATATATATATATATATATATATTTATATGAAAAAAATAAAATTATCATTAACTGCAGATGATACAATCTACACAGAGCCAAAAATTCCACCAAAAAAACCCTAGAATTTATAACCAAATTCAGCAATGTAGCAGGATACAAAATCAACATACGAAAATCAAGAGTGAGCCTATACACTGATAATGAACTCCCTAAGAAAGAAATTAGGAAAACAATACCATTCCCAATAGCAGCAAGAATTAACTGAAACAAATAAGTGAAAGGTCTCTATAATAAAAACGATAGTACTCTGAAAGAAAAGATTGAAAAAGACATCAGAAAATGCAAAAATATCCTCTGTCCTTCCTGGTAGAGTGAACAAATATAGTCAAAATGGCCATATTTTCAAAACTGATATACAAACTCAATGTAACCTCAGTCAAAATACCAACAACATCCTTTACAGAAATAGAGAAAACGGGGCCAGACAAAAAGCTCAGTGGATTAAAGTGCCTGCTTAGGCAGATGCAGGGTTCTGAGGTTCAATCCTCTGGCCTGCTGTGCTGGCCCTGCCCCTGGGGTACACTGAGAAGGAGATTGAGAATGGGCCTGGTGGTACATGCCTGTAATCCCAGCTTTTGGAAGGCTGAACACAGGCAGATCAGTACGAGTCCAAACTATGTAGTGAGACCCTGTAGACCCTGTACTAAAATGAGAGAGAAAGAGAGAGAGGGAGAGAAGGAAAGAGGGAGAGAGAGAGAGAGAGGGAGGGAGGGAG